TACCAGGTCCATTGCAAATGAATGGTTTGCAGAACACGGAAGACCTATTGGCATGCGAAGTGTTTACCGACGAATGAGAAGTTTTGGCTTGTTTCATACCGGCCACACTGGGTCCTCCCTTTAACTCGAGAACACCGACGTAATCGCCTTGAGTGGTGCAGGCAACGGTCACTCTGGGATCAGGAACGGAACAGTATTGTCTTTAGTGACGAGTCTCGATTTTGTTTAGGAATGCACGATGGTCGCGCCAGGGTTAGAAGGAGACGTGGTGAAAGGAGGAATCCACAGTTTTTTGTTGATGGACATGTTCATCACACTGTTGGAGTTATGGTTTGGGGTGCTATAGCTTATGGTTCCAGGTCACCTTTAATCTTCATCAGAGGTAACATGAACGCGCAGCGTTATATCCACGAAGTTCTAGAACCCCATCTTTTACCCTATCTTGACACCCTGGCAGATCCAACTTTCCAACAAGATAATGCCCGACCACATGTTGCAAGAGTCACAATAGACTTCTTCAACATAATGATGTCACATTGTTACCATGGCCACCATTTGTAGGAGATTGCTCAATTTGCAACGTCCTCCTCAGACTCTAGAAGCACTTCGAGAGGAGTTGGTGGTTGCCTGGAATGAGATACCACAGGAGGACATTAACCACCTGATCAGAAGCATGCCTAGGCGCGTTGGAGAATGCGTAGCACATCAGGGTGCATCCACACATTATTAAAGGTCAAAGGGCTTTAAAGCAGTGCAATCATTTTGAAATTTTTATCATTTACTTATTATGCTTCATTAAGTACTTATACAAAATTTTATTAAATAAAACCATTTAAACTGGGTGTTCGGATTTATATGTCACTTAGTATATAATCCCATGTATCGTGCACCTATAAGATTCTTGGAGATATCCAAATCTGTTTGTTTACGTTAACAAAACGTAGTGGGAGTTGAATGTATACAAAATTGTAATAAAATCAAAATAATAATCATCCCACATGAACAAACAGAATCATAAAAAAAAACTCATATCCTGCTCATGCTCATAAATAGGAAGAGCTTGGCTTGGCTCATGATACAGTTTCTCTGACATAATATCAAGGTGAACTAAACTGTATACGCCTCATTTAAATGTTAGGCGTTTCTAATGCTTGAAGTGAGAATGAAATTCATTTGAATGTACAATTTTATTCCAAGGAATCGTGACATATTCGACTGGGTATCATTCTAATACCTTATACTCGTAGACAACTGGAATCAGGGCGCATAAGAAATGTGAGAGTTGACAAAAAAAAACCGCTTGATTCAAGTATTCCTCTCTGGAGGGTCGCAAAATCGGAAAGCGAGAACAACTCCCGCACATCCACGGTCCTGAAGGCATAGTCTCCAGAACAGAGGATAAGGTCGAGGGTTTCGCTGACAGTGGCGTACATGGTTGCCACATTAGTTAAAACTACTGGATCCTACGGCGTTTTACAAAATCTACTTCATGTCTTCAATGCCTTACCGCAACCAACATTACGGAGCGTATGTTTTGTAAACACTAGAACTTGTATAAATTCTAATACCTCTCTAACTGTAAAGGCAATAATGGAGCTCCATGATCTCGTTCGGTCTTAAAATATTTCATCAAAGAAATGAGGAATTCTTGAATTTGATTATAGTTTATTCACTGCATCAAAGCAGTTACGTCCACGCCAAATAATGACAGTGACGCACATGGTTGCCACATTAATTAAATCTACTGGATCCTAGGGCGTTTTACAAAATCTACTTCATGTCTTCAATGCCTTACCGCAACCAACATTACGGAGCGTATGTTTTGTAAACACTAGAACTAGTATAAATTCTAATACCACTCTAAGTGTATAGGCAATAATGGAGCTCCAAGATCTAGTTCGGTTCCAAAGTATTTCGTCAAAGAGATGACGAATTCTTGAATTTGATTATAGTTTATTCATTGAATCAAAGCAGTTACGTCCACGTCAAATAATGACAGTGACGTACATGGTTGCCACATTAGTTAAAACTTCTGGATCCTAGGGCGTTTTACAAAATCTACTTCATGTCTTCAATGCCTTACCGCAACCAACATTACGGAGCGTATGTTTTGTAAACACTAGAACTAGTATAAATTCTAATACCTCTCTAACTGTATAGGCGATAATGGAGCTCCATGATCTCGTTCGGTCCCAAAGTATTTCGTTAAAGAAATGACGAATTCTTGAATTTGATTATAGTTTATTCACTGAATCAAAGCAATTACGTCAACGTCAAATAATGACAGTGACGCACATGGTTGCCACATTAATTAAAACTACTTGATCCCAGGGCGTTTTACAAAATCTACTTCATGTCTTCAATGCCTTACCGCAACCAACATTACGGAGCGTATGTTTTGTAAACACTAGAACTAATATAAATTCTAATGCCTCTCTAACTGTAAAGGCAATAATGGAGCTCCATGATCTCGTTCGGTCCCAAAGTATTTCATCAAAGAGATGACGAATTCTTGAATTTGATTATAGTTTGTTCACTGAATCAAAGCAGTTACGTCAACGTCAAATAATGACAGTGACGCACATGGATGCCACATTAGTTAAAACTACTGGATCCTAGAGCGTTTTACAAAATCTACTTCATGTCTTCAATGCCTTACCGCAACCAACATTACGGAGCGTATGTTTTGTAAACACTAGAACTAGTTTAAATTCTAATACCTCTCTAACTGTAGAGGCCATAATGGAGCTCCATGAACTCGTTCGGTCCCAAAGTATCTCGTCAAAGAGATGACGAATTCTTGAATTTGATTATAGTTTATTCACTGAATCAAAGCAATTACGTCAACGTCAAATAATGACAGTGACGCACATGGTTGCCACACTAGTTTAAAACTACTGGATCCTAGGGCGTTTTACAAAATCTACTTCATGTCTTCAATGCCTTACCGCAACCAACATTACGGAGCGTATGTTTTGTAAACACTAGAACTAGTTTAAATTCTAATACCTCTCTAACTGTAAAGGCAATAATGCAGCTCCATGATCTCGTTCGGTCCCAAAGTATTTCGTCAAAGAGATGACGAATTCTTGAATTTGATTATAGTTTATTGACTGAATCAAAGCAGTTACGTCAACGTCAAATAGTGACAGTGACGCACATGGATGCCACATTAATTAAAACTGCTTGATCCTAGGGCGTTTTACAAAATCTACTTCATATCTTCAATGCCTTACCGCAACCAACATTACGTAGCGGATGTTTTGTAAACACTAGAACTAGTTTAAATTCTAATACCTTTCTAACTGTAAAGGCGATAATGGAGCTCCATGATCTCGTTCGGTCTCAAAATATTTCGTCAAAGAAATGACGAATTCTTGAATTTGATTATAGTGTATTCACTGAATCAAAGCAATTACGTCAACGTCAAATAATTATAGTGACGCACATGGTTGTCACATTAGTTAAAACTACTGGATCCTACGGCGTTTTACAAAATCTACTTCATGTCTTCAATGCCTTACCGCAACCAACATTACGGAGCGTATGTTTTGTAAACACTAGAACTAGTATAATTTCTAATACCTCTCTAACTGTAAAGGCAATAATGGAGCTCCAAGATCTCGTTCGGTTCCAAAGTATTTCGTCAAAGAGATGACGAATTCTTGAATTTGATTATAGTTTATTCACTGAATCAAAGCAGTTACGTCCACATCAAATAATGACAGTGACGCACATGGTTGCCACATTAGTTAAAACTACTGGATCCTAGGGCGTTTTACAAAATCTACTTCATGTCTTCAATGCCTTACCGCAACCAACATTACAAAACGTATGTTTTGTAAACACTAGAACTAGTATAAATTCTAATACCTCTCTAACTGTAAAGGCGATAATGGAGCTCCATGATCTCGTTCGGTCCCAAAGTATTTCGTCAAGAAATGAGGAGTTCTTGATTTTGATTATAGTTTATTCACTGAATCAAAGCAGTTACGTCAACGTCAAATAATGACAGTGACGCACATGGTTGCCACATTAGTTAAAACTACTGGTTCCTAGGGCGTTTTACAAAATCTACTTCATGTCTTCAATGCCTTACCGCAACCAACATTGCGGAGCGTATGTTTTGTAAACACTAGAACTAATATAAATTCTATAATACCTCTCTAAGTGTAAAGGCGATAATGGAGCTCCATGATCTCGTTCGGTCTCAAAATATTTCGTCAAAGAAATGACGAATTCTTGAATTTGATTATAGTTTATTCACTGAATCAAAGCAGTTACGTCAACGTCAAATAATGACAGTGACGCACATTGTTGCCACATTAATTAAAACTACTTGATCCTAGGGCGTTTTACAAAATCTACTTCATGTCTTCAATGCCTTACCGCAACCAACATTACGAAGCGTATGTTTTGTAAACACTAGAACTAGTATAAATTCTAATATCTCTAGTTGTAAAGGCCCGTCCAGTTCCGAGCTAGCAGCCGTCGCGAGTATACACTTGTGCGACTGCGACCAACCCGGACTTACAGTGCGATCCTACTGTGATTTTCATCACGGTACGATCGCCATCCACGATGGCGAGAATAGAAAAGCTGGCGAGCCAGCTAAAGCAGAAAGAGGAGAACTTCGCAATGCTTGCTGAGCAGATGAAAAATCTGCAAGAAGCATTCGAGCAGGCGAGGAATGAGATCGATGAGGTGAAAAGGAAGCTCCTCAAAGCGAAGAGGAAAGCGAAGCAGACGGAGGAAGAAGAAGAAGGAGAGGACCAGGGAGACGAGGACCAGCAGCCTACGGAGAACTTGGACATGGATGCCCAAGATATCGACGTAGAAGAAGCCGAGAAGAGGACGGACGACACCGATTCAGTGTCGCCACCAGACGGAGGAAGCGGGTGCGAGTTTCCTCCTCCGAAGATGAGTCACCAAGGCAGCCAAAGATGCCAGCTGGTGCCACCAAGAAGAGTCCTAGAGCAGCCAGGACCATCGTGCCCCCCATGGCAGGAACAGGAGTTCCGCCAATCAATATCGAGGGCACCGCTGATTGGTCATCCTTGAGTAGGATGATGAACAGCAAGGGGATTCAATTCTCCAAAGCGAGGACGGCGGGTACCAGTGTGAAGGTATTCACAAATACACCAGCTGACTACCGTCAGCTAGTCGCACTGCTGGAATCCATCAAGCGGCCCTTCTTCACCTATCAATTGAAGGAGGACAGGATGGACCAGAGGGTCATTCGTGGGCTACCCAGAGAGATGTCAGTCAATGACATCAAAGAGGATCTAGTGAGCCAAGGCATCGCAGACGCCGAGGTTCAGCAGATGACCTCAAGGACCACCAAGAAGCCACTTCCGCTCTTCCTCGTCAAGACGAAGATGCCGGAAAAGCTTGCAGAGATCCAGAGGCTGGCCATGCTCACGGTCAGCTTCGAGAGGAAGAAAAAGTCTTCCGAGCCCAGCCAATGTTACCGCTGCCAGCGGTACGGGCACACACAGCGGAATTGTCGTCTCGCTGAACGGTGCGTTAAGTGTGGAGAGGACCACAACAGCACCAGCTGCAGTCTGCCAGCGCCGCCAACAGGGCAACGAAACGCCAAGTGTTGCCTCTGTGGAGAAGGCCACCCCGCCAACTACAAGGGATGTAGTAAGGCGCCGAAGAAAGCTGCTTCTGCCCCCAAAGCAGTCCCCACCACAATAGGACTTCTTACGCTCAAAACGCGAAGAAGCCTATGTCCAGTTCTGCCCCAGCAGCCGCCACTGCTACTGGAACTACTGCTGCAGAAGCAACACGGCGATGACAGACTGCTAGCAATGATGCAAGCCATCATAACCCGCCTGGATGCACTCGAGGCCAAGATGCAAGACAAGCACTAGACCCGAAATGTCTACAGGTCAAAACGTAGATTCTCTACGCATTATCTCCTGGAACATCAACGGATTCAGGGCACGGAAACCAGAAATCCAGGAGATACTAGACCAGTACCAACCAGAGGTGATGGCCATCCAAGAAACGAAGTTGGATGCTGCCCATAGTCTGACGTTTCCCGCGGTACGATACGTTACCGCTACGACAGAAGGGGCAGAGGTTGAGGAGTCGCATTACTCGTCAAACGTACCTTGACGAGTCATGTCCTCGACGATGCCGCAGACATAAATGGGGACGGAATCACGGTCCAGGTCCATCACAACCACGTCCCTACAGAATCACCTCCCTATATGTGCCACCAGGGGAGGCCCTAGACGAAGATGACATCGCTGACCTCCTGAGAGGCCCAGGAGCACGCATAGTCATCGGAGATCTAAACTGCAAGTCTCCGGCATGGAACAACAACGTCGAAGACAGGAATGCAAGGCAGCTCCAGGAACACGTCGATGCCCTGGCGGGGGTCATCGTCGGTCCGGAGCAACCAACCTACATTCCATTCGGCCTTGGGCGACCTGCGGTACTGGACATAGCCATCCTCCGCAACATCAGAGAGGAGTTCGAGATAGAGACCCTGGTGGAAGGATCGTCGGACCACAATCCGATTCTACTAACACTTGGCACAGGGTCTAGAACTCGAGATAGCTTGAGCACCAAACGGACGAACTGGAAACTGTACAAATCCAACGTCCAAAGGAACATCACTCAAATTCCAACCATCCGATCAGCGGAGGAACTGGACAACGCAGTAGAGGAGCTGGAGAATGCTGTCCTGCGAGCGCACGAGGACAGCACCCGCTCCGAGACTACGGCAGTTCCTAGACACCTAAATGGTCCAGCACCACACCATATTAGGCACCTGATCAGGGAGAACAGAAGACTCAAGCGAGAACATCTCCAGCTGTTGACAGAGGAGTCGAGAGTTGCGCGAAACAGAGCATCGTTTGCTCTGAAGAACGCACTCGCGGAACTCCAAAACAACAGATGGAATGCAGCCTGTGCAGAACTAGAGACCCAGGATGGTACGGCCTGGTCTATGCAGCGAAAATTTCGTCGTCAGCGCACCACGATCCCCACTCTTCACGGCCAACGCGGCTTGGCCTACTCCAGTGAAGAAAAAGCCGAAGCATTCGCCAATTCGCTAGAATCCGAATGCAGACTCAATTACCATGAAGACGAGGACGACAACCACGAGGAGGCCGTGGAAGTCGCAGCTGAAAACATGAGGAGTCGACCACCTGGCCAGGAGACGGATCACCCCTCCAGTCCAGAGGAAATCCGTCTGATCATCTGCAGGTTGAAGGTCAGAAAGGCGCCGGGAAGGGACGGCATCAACAACAGGATGCTGAAGAACCTTCCCACCAAAGGCATTGCTGCGCTCACCAACATCGCCAATGCCACCCTGAGACTTAACCACTTCCCGCGGCGGTGGCGGGAAGCCCAGGTTATAATGCTCACCAAGCCAGGCAAGGACCGGAAGTTGCCCCAGAACTACCGGCCCATCAGCCTGGTTTCCTCGATGGGCAAAGTAGTCGAAAAGGCTATCGCCGTTCGACTAGAGAAGCAGGCAGAAGAACTGCAACTTCTCCCCCCAGAGCAATTCGGCTTCAGATCCTCGCACAACACGGAACTCCAACCGCTACGACTGACAGAAAACATCACCAGCGGCTTCAATCTCCAGGAGGCAACCGGTCTCGTCCTGCTGGACGTGGAACGAGCCTTCGACCGAGTTTGGCACGATGGACTCATCGCCAAAATGGAAGCCGCCGGAATCGATGCGAACATGTGCCAACTAATCCAGAGCTATCTAACACAGAGATGGTTCACGGTGAAGATTGGTACATGCCATTCAACAAGACGTCAGCTGGAAGCAGGCGTGCCCCAGGGGTCAGCCTTAGCCCCCCTGCTCTACAACATCTATACTTACGATGTGCCGAAGACAGCTGACACAATGCTGGCCCTATATGCAGACGACACTGCTATAGCCGCCAAGCATAGACGACCCGAGATCATCCGTAGGAGACTACAGGGTGAACTGGACCAAATTCAGGACTGGTGCGTGAAATGGAAAATCCGCATCAACGTCAAGAAGACGCAGGCAATCTTCATTCAACGAAGAAGGATTGCAAGACCTCTCGAAGCATCCATCTTCGATGAAGATATCCAGTGGAGCGACAATGTCAAATATCTGGGGATCGTTTTTTGACAAGTCCCTCACCTGGAAAGCGCACATAGAAGCTGTCATCGCAAAAACCAGAGCAGCCATGGCTCAACTCTATCCATTACTGGGTAGACACAGCCAGATGCCGCTAGCGACCAAGCTACGGCTGATCAAGGCCATCGCCAGACCTCAGCTCGCTTACGCCTCCGCGGTCTGGGGGTACGCTGCCCCCAGCTACCGCAAGCGACTTGCTGCTCTAGAGATGAAGCTACTCCGGATCGCCACCAATGCACCTTCCTACGTAAGGAACTCAACCTTGCGTAGAGACCTGCATTGGGATACCATCCACGAGTACAAGAGGAAAAAGCGGAGAAGACCTTCGAGAAAGCTCAGGACCACCCGAACGAGCAGCTACGATTCCTCATGGACTACGATCCGGACGAGAGGCCTCGCAACCGCAGAACCAGGTACCCCAGACCAAGGTCCCAGTTGGCACCCGCTAACTGGAACCTTGACTAGGAGACTAGGAGAATTTGCGGCTGCTCTCCCCCCCCCCCCCCACGGCGTGGATGCAGAGGACCAGGAACCACCGGGACCAGGACCCACCGGGACCAGGACCAACCAGGACCAGGACCCGCCACGACCAGGACCCACCAGGACCAGGACCCTTCAGGACCAGGACCCTTCAGGACCAGGACCAGGAACAACATATTGGTAAGAGGATTTGAAACTCTTGATTTTTCGAAAACAAGAGTTTCAAGAGAAACTAGCAGACCCTCTATCGATGATCGCTTAACGACATCGATAGAATGTGCGAGGTAAAGGGAACCAACCCGGCGTTCCCAGAGACTGAAACACATGAGGAGACGTTGTAGCAGACCGCAGGTCACGCACAACACATGGCCTACCGAGATGCTGATGAGTCGGGCCACGCGGAGGTTTAGGGTTTAGTGGGTATTAGGTGATCTCTTCAAGACCCTGGAGCCCCACACACGTCGTAGCTCGTGCTATGGTATGGTGCGTAAATGCATTCCCCTCGTTAAAAAAAAAAAAAAAAAAAAACTGTAAAGGCAATAATGGAGCTCCATGATCTCGTTCGGTCCCAAAGTATTTCGTCAAAGAAATGACGAATTCTGAATTTGATTATAGCTTATTCACTGAATCAAAGCAGTTACGTCAACGTCAAATAAAGACAGTGACGCACATGGTTGCCACATAGTTAAAACTGCTGGATCCTAGGGCGTTTTACAAAATCTACTTCATGTCTTCAATGCCTTACCGCAAACCAACATTACGGAGCGTATTGTTTTCTAAACACTAGAACTAGTTTAAATTCTAATACCTCTCTAACTGCAAAGGCAATAATGCAGCTCCATGATCTCGTTCGGACTCAAAATAGTTCGTCAAAGAAATGACGAATGCTTTCGGTTGTCGACAAGGTTTCGACATTTTAGCAAAATGTTTAAAAGGACACCTCAAACTGTTTTTATAAAATAACAATGCAATAAACAACAAACCGTTGACGTAATTAAATAAAGGACGACGGAGGTAGGTTCAGGTTAATTGAAACAGA